TCTTTTACGCATGCCCTAGAAAAGTGATCGACCTTTTTGCAGTATTCGCGGCTCCTGCTTCTAATAAAGACTGTTCTCGTGCTCGACTTCGACAATCGAATTAAGAATCGCCGGCGATTAATCAATTTTCTTCTTAATCACGTTTGTTATACGAAAAATTTTATCTGTTAACTTTAATGAATAAAGTAATGAACTTTACTGAAGCGTCGGATCTAAATAAGATTTTATCAATTTTATCTAAAATGCTATTTATTGCGAATATGTGTAATAATTACGTAGTTACAACGACCGTGAGTCAAATCAGCTGGCAAAAATCACGAAAAAAATAGTAGAGAAAACTATAAGTGAGATGACTCAGATTAAATGAAATGCGAAAACAAACCGCTGTGCTACGTAAAAATCAATCAATCAATTATTAGTTTATCAGCAAAACACATAAAAAATAATAATCATTCACGCAACAAAATATGTAAGCAATAAATTCATATGTTAATAGTTACTCGATGAATATTAAGATCTTTCTTTTCATTTATGACTTACCATACGATGATCTGTAAACATCTGGATCGGCTGCATTGTTTGTGTCGTGAGAGGCCTTAACAATTGTCCCCAACAATTGTCCATACACACACGTGCAATTCACACACGATCGCGAAAGCTGCATAAAAAGAATAAACAATATCGTCATTAAACCTTGACAATGTTAGATTATACATGTAACTTACGTCGGCGGACAAAGTACAACATGATTTTCACATTGCGCCGCCTACGCGTGGCTTGGTGGTGAATACAAAATGCTTGCGTATTTACTCATATTATTTAAGGATGCAGTTATTTCTAAACATTAATCTACAGCAAACTGTAACCCGATAATTTTTAAATTTGTATATTATTTAAAAATCTGAGTAATATTAATTTCAATATTAATTTTAATTCTTATTTATTCTTTTTTTTGTCTTTCCTTCTCTTGAAATCGATGTCTTTAATAAATGACAGATAAATGAAAATTAATATTTTTCATATAAACAAATTGTACGCTAAAGTTTTTGGAGTATTTTTTGACATAAAAATGTGCATAATCTGAATACGAATTAAATTCAAATTAGCTGTATTTAATATTCGTTGTTATGAATCTTTCAATATTTTTTCTGTGACGCGAATGAAATAATGTCGAATTTATGACAATTATAGCATAATCTAAATATTTATACAATTAGCTTAATAATTTTTTGTTATTCATTCAATATTTTTTTTGTGACAAAGATAGCATACAATGGTAGAAATGTTTCTTAAATTAACTTTTAAGTTACACAATTTGAATTTAATTTCATGACATTACATTAAATTTAATGTATTTTTCATACAAATTTATGAAATTTATTGTACTTTAAAATTTTATTAAAAGTACATTAAATTTCATAAATTTAATGTACTTTACATGCAAAGGAAGCTCGTGTTTACATTTTTAAGAGTGTAGTGTTTTCAACATATAGTTGTTAAAATATTTGTTAAAATCAGCTTAAGATATTATCTAATAATATCTTAAGCTGATTTTAACAAATATTTTAACAATTAAATAATATTATCTTTCTTAATAATATTTTTTTCTACTGTAAGAATGAAATAGTATCTTCGATTTAATAATATTAATAATTTATTCATCTTTCAATATTTTTCTATGTTAGCAAGAAGCGTCTTCTATATAGAATGGAATAACGCCCTCAAAACAGAATTTAGAAAAGTAGTTCATGAAATGAGAATGTAAATACTTCGCTCAAAATAATCTAGATGAGCATTGCAGACGTTCGTTTCTGTATTTCTGATCTTCTGTAATACAGATTTGCGCTATTTTTAATTATACCGAGACAGACGCGAACGAAGTGACTACTGTGACGCGTTCGCTTTATGTTCCTTCAAGTAAGCCGCCATGCAGTCTGCTATGTTATTCATATCGGGTTTGCGCGAAAAGAAAACATGCATCCTCGCATTTACAATGACAGAAAGAAGTTGTCGTGGAAAGAAATCATGTGATATTCATGTGCTGCCTCATGTATTTTATAAATATATAATTCGACTGATAACTTCAAAATTAAAGTCCAATGATTAGCGTTTCATGTAATAATCTAAGATAAAATTACACATTACGTTGTCTTCGATCAGACAAAGATGACATCGCATAATGAAAAAATCATGTTTATCAGTGCTATGAATAATTCAATATGGCTGCCTTCGTTCTGATTAATAAAAATGAAAAGTAAGGCCTGTTTCTTTTTCAGTTAAACTTCTTTCCTGAATTGCATGATTCTTTCCTCTTTTTCTCTTCACGTTGGAAGAAAAAGAGAAAAGAACGATTAAAGGTAAAAATATTGGAAAAAAATAGAAATTTTTTTTTTTTGAGTAAAATAATCAGTAAATACTAATTTTTATCTGAAAGTTTTTTAATCGAATATTTTAATTTTTTGTGCACTTGACGACATATTATTGATCCATTTTTTTGCATTCATCCAAAAAATAATTGTAAACAATCAAAATATAGTAAATTAAATATAAAAAACCTTTTTTTCTGTACGAATAATGAAAGAAGTTTAACTAATAAGAACAGGCCTCGATCATGTTTTCCAAAATAATTTCGTCGGCGGCTTCAATTAGCCAGTTCTATTTTTCGATTATTTAATGTAACGAAGCTCCAAAATTTCGATCGAACGATCAATATATAAATAAACTATAATATAAAATAAAATAACTATAATATAAAATACGTATTTTTTTTTTTTATAAATCTTTCATATGATTTTGCCTCCTCTCTTCTAGTGTTTGAAGAGAATAATTGACAATCATGCTTAATGTAAAGCTTTGTGTCCATAATACTATACAAAAAGATTGATTTAACTAATATAGAAATATCTAAAAATTCAGCTATAGATGGATTTGAAAGTATTATAATTTTGTTGGACCATCAAGATAATTATGTAGGACACTCAAACTGCAGGTTTCTAAAAATCAAAACGTTTTGCAATATATATTTCTGCTAATTACAATATTTTGACGACCTAACAAAATTATTTTCAAATAAGAATCTAGTTAAATTTTAAGATACTCCAAATAATTCTTTCCTTGTAGAAATCATTTCGAGATCTCGGAACAATTTCTAGCATCATGGACAAATTAATATCGAAGATAATGTTCGGTTGTTTTAAAAAGGCTTTCGCGTGTCCTTAATAACTTATTCGAACAAGAGCAACTTGTTGTAAACATAAGACTAAAATATCTCACGATTACATCGATCGTCGCTATTTCCGCTCGATTATTTCTTGACTTCTGTCCGATGAGATTGCCCTCGTCGGGCACGACTAAAATAACTTATGATCTTACCTAATGGCCATTAATGGCGCAAGCTCCCCAGTTCGAGCGTTAGGTTTTTTTGAAACCTCGCTTTGCCGGGTTTCACTGAATACCTACATCATCGGTCTTCGTCATTTCGCCCGATGTTGCGAAAACAAACGATTAACGAGATTTTCGTAGCCGCGAGGCAAATGTTCGGTCGAATCATCCGATCCGGTGAAACGAATGGCAATAATGACACAGTATCGCGAAAGTCGTTGACGATTGGCTCGTTTAAATTGATCGAGTGTGAAATTCGCTGATTTCTCATATGATCGAAGTTGCCGCTTTAAGTCGTCGCGCGGCAACTTCGCGGCGTTCGAGCCTTACAATAAGCAGTAAGGCACCGTCTACAATAAAATAAGAGTGCGCTCTAAGTCCTAAGCTGTAAGAAATCAATCAATCACAATTAATGCGAGGAGAATTATGATTAGTTAATTCTTATGGCTTAAGGCTTATCTATTGTTTTATTGTAGACACTGCGTAACAGACATTTAATGCTAAAAGATATGTGACTAGTTACTTATTTTGAATTGTTCAGTTCAATATTCAAAGGAAGTAATTAATCATTACTTTTCAGTATTAATTCTCTAGAGCTGATAACAAAATCTATTTTTGACGTTGTATCTGTAAGATCCATTTAATTTATGTTATTTATTATTAATTAAAAGTATTAATTAATTTCAAGAAACCAAAATGACATAATTCATATAAAAAACGTATAAAAAAGAATTAATACTATGATTGATATTCATAATGTTTTTGACTCTAGACTGTTTGAAGTAACATTTTAAGATACTAATATAGCTTTGTGATTAGCATTTTAAGATTGTATTTAAGATAGTCTTAAGAACTATGAACGCCGTCCTAAGATTGGTATTCATAGTTGGAGTTTATAAGATCGTCTTAAATACAGTTTTAATGTCATGAATCAATCAGAGAACTATATTAGTATCTCAAAACTTACTTAAGATGGTTTTAAAATAAGAATGAATTATAAATACCATCTTCAGTTTTATATTTAAGATCATCTTAAGTACAGTCAAAGGGCTGTATTAGCATCTTAAGATATCAATTAAGACGCCTTAAAATAAGAACGGATAATAAATAAATAAGAATTATCTAAATTGCAAACGTAACATAAAGAAAATTGTATTATTAGACAATTTTGAAAAGAGATTTATAATTGAAATTTATAATTGAATGATTCCAATAATAAACGTCAGATTAAGAAAGTTAAATTGGCCGGTATTAAATTGGATTTCTGTAAGGGAATTGTGATAGATGACTTTTTTTCGAGACTGTGGCTAATTTCTTCAAGATTAAAATCCAAATCCCTGCAAAATCTCGTTACGTGAATTCAGTCGCTTTCGTTCCGAGCAATTTTTTTTGTGCAAGATCAAGAATCGATCGCCGACAGGCGGAGATAATCTCGAGGTAGTGTGAAGCGACGAAAAACACACCTCGATTCGACATACTCGAAGTATGTCGAGGAAATCGCTTCGTCAATGGCGGACATCAGACCGCTCGTTGCAGTCGAGACGAGAAACAATCGATGCCGTGCACACGCACACGGACAAGCGCACAGGTGGGCATAATGTCACGTTTCTTTGTTTCAGGAGATTCTCGCGTCACTCGCGTGCCGTGCGCTGGGCGCGTTCGAAACGCGCGCTAACATCGCCGGCTGATCACGTGATACGTTTGCCGTATCGACCGCCGGCTCCGGCCGCTCTGATTGGTCCGGCTGAGCCACGTGACCGCGCGCAACGTCAGTTCGGACTACCGTCTGCTTGTGGTGTCACTGGTGTCAGGTCTACACTTGTCAACGCACGTTCGACGGGGGAACAAAGGATCTCAGCGGAGAGAAAGACTACTCTCCGAGCCGCCTAGTTCGCCTACGTCGCGTCCGTCTTTTCTCGTCTCGCGTCGAGAGTTTGCCAGAATTGTCTTCGCTTATACTCGCGTCGCGTCGTGGTATCCTGGACGCGCTGGATCAGGATTCGCGCACAACGTCACAGTACCGAGAAGTGCGTTCGTGATACGGCGAGACAGGTGTTCTTGACAGCTCGCCGTCGCCGTAACGGCGTCGTCGGCGACCCGCGAAACGCGGTGTCATTGAGTACATAGGGACGAGAAATCGTTGACTCTGTCTCGAAATCATCACGACTCTGGATAGATTCGCCGAGCGATAATAATTTCGCGATCTCCTCTTCGCGACTTTTCGCATCTCTAATTCTTTCTCTCTCGCACGCGGGAGACCTTCGGACTGAAGACTGCCGCGAATACTTACGTTTCCCTTTCACCGCGCCGCGAATTTCTAACAACACTTTGACTAAATTCGTGTCTCTCCCTTTCCCGTTCCACCCCCTCATCCATTGTCGGTCGTATTCCGCGGCCTGTGCTGCGCGGGCTTAGGACATGTACAGCATGAACTATATCGCCAAGATCATCAGCAATTTCCGTCTCTTCTACAACGAGATCAACGCCGCGACGCTCACCGGCGCGATCGATGTCATCGTCATCGAGCAACCGGACGGCTCCTTCACGTGCTCGCCCTTCCATGTCCGTTTCGGCAAACTCGGCGTACTCCGTTCCAGAGCGAAAGTGGTAAGTTCTCGCATTTGCGCCTATTATCGGCAATTTATCTCTGCGCAAATGAATACGATAATAAACGATCAGAGGCTGACCTTCGTTGCGTCGTTTGAAAAGAATTATTTATCAATTATATTGTATCAATTTTTGGGATAATTATTGAATTATGATTATAATGCTTATTGCAATATTATTTCTTATAATGAAATATTTTGTAAATATAATTTGCTGCATGTAACAATCTGTTGTTAAAAAATAATTTTGTTGTTTTTATAAAAATATTTTTATCATTTGTGTTTTTAAAACCGGATTTTTTAAAAGAAAATCTTACTTCGTTCTCGAAAATTTTTATTTTAATTTTATTAAAATAAGAAATAGATATATTAAAAAATTACATTTTTTATATGTAATTATTAAAACATATGATTATAATAGTTATTATAATATTATTTCTTATAATTAAATATTTTTTAAATGTAATTTACT